TGGCGGAAGAGAGATAAAAGATTCACGCCGGAACAGTGCCAGGGGCGGGTCTGACGATGGCGGCGCCATGGGTGGCTCGCCGGAGCTCACTGTTTTCGATCTACAGCACTCGGTTCGACGAAAAAAAACACCAAGAGAGAGAGGAAGCTACGGCGGACTCACCGGACCCAAAAACCAAGAATGGGAGGCAGCAAAGACGGCACAGCGCTCGGTGGTCGGCGATGGTCGCGGCGGTGCTAGGGCGAAGCGTGGCTGGCTTGTTTGGGCAAAAAACTATGCGGCAGATGAGATAGGAGGCAGAGAAGGCGCGAGCGCTATTTATGGGGGTGGGTTCTTGGGCGTCACGGCATCACAGAGATCATGGCGGAGGCGGACTCAAGGCGGCGGCACGGGGAAGACTCCGGCTGGGATACGAGCAAGCGGAAGGAGGAGGGTTTGACCAGCGGGCCTGGGCGGCGGTCGGGTGAAGGAAGGAAAGCGCATGGTCAGCAGACATCTGTGGTGGGGTGTGGCCCAGGCCCCTACTAGTATGCAGGGAAGAAAAACTGAGCTGGGCTGGCGCAGAGGAAAGAAAGGCCAGCGGCCAACTGGGCCAGTGGAAGGGCGAAGCCGAGTGGGCCAAAAGCAGGGGAAAGAAAAGAAAAAGGAAATTTATTTCTTTTCAATTTTTCTAAAGCAATTCAAAATACAATTTCAACTCAATTCGAAATCCGACTTCAAACGAAGCAATACAAAATATTATGCAACAGCATGAATGCACACTCATTGTGGTTGCCCTTATATTTGGTTTTATTTTTAATAAAATTATTATTCCTAAATTCGAATGCCCACAAAATGCTTAATTAATCAATTTCCTCCTATTTCAAAAATATGCAAAATTTAGGGTGTTACATTTATAGATGAAGGGGATGGCCTTACAAGTGAAAGGGAGAGAGTACGTATGCTATTAAGCCTTGTTGTCCATGCCGGCGGGTACAGGATGACGGTAGGCGCCCACAATACTGTTATATGTCAGATGCACGTAGGAGGTCATGTTGTCTTCTTCGGGTATGGCAGACATCGGCGCCTGCCACACTGTTGATACCCGGAGGCGTGCAAGGGGTTTTACCATGTTCGTCTGGTATGGTAAATGCCGGCGTCCATAACACTATTGATGCCCAGAGGCATGTGAGGGGAGCCTTACCATGTGGGAGTTAATGGCGCCCACAATACTGTAGGGAAAAACGTCGACACCTACAACACTGCTTACGTTCTGTCATGTCAGGGAGATTGCAGGGTACTATTTCTGTAGGTGTACTGGGTACGGTCCCTGGTATTGCGGTTTGACTTGTGCGCCATGCCTTACTTTCTCCGTCCATTTTTTGGTCTTTACCAAGCGGGCGTCCCCGGTCGGTTGGTCCCAGTCGGCTCTGATCGCACCAGTTAGAGAAGAGCAGTGAGCAGGGGTTTAGCGCATCCCTGATCGGAGACACGGGTTAGAGTCGAAAGCGACGTTTGGCCAGGCCTTCCGGTCGGAGAGGCCGTCCGGAGGCGGCTGGAGACCAAAGCGAGCGCTCCGGTCAGAGAGGTGGGCCGGAGTTGGAAGCGGCTGTCATTCCTCCTTGGCCAGGCCTTTCGGTCGGAAATTGGATCGTCCCTCTGGCCTATCGTTTAGGTACTTGGGTCGGCCCATGAGTTGCGCGTTGTCTGCTTGGGCTGAGCCTTTGTTGGGAAGCCCATCCACGATGGACCCCGGGTTTATAAACCCGACAATTGCACACTAAAAACATATTGTCATGCAAGTTTGTAGAATTTTCTAACAAAGTTTCAAATTATTACAACTATTTTATGTTAATATGGAGATAGAAGGATGAATTATCCACGGCAAACAAATGGTTTTTTTCATCCATATCTGGATATGGCCTAGAGTGAAACATATGAGCATATATAAATTTTATAATGTCTTGGAATCTTATTGGAGGTCTCACTATTCAATTTGGAATTACTTTCGATAAGCGCACAGAAATTCATTTAGACTATAGAAAATAGGAAATCGGTTTCGAAAATTTCAACAGTATGTATGTAGCCTATTTTATGTACAAAAAGTTTGGAGTATGAAAGACATTTTATAAAGTATGTTTCACAAGGTGCTTTCTCTATATACATGAATGGAAAACAAACATATGCAAAACAACCAAGAAACAATAATTGATATCCAAACAAATGTTGTTAATTGGTAGATCATGATTTTAGATAGAACTAGAAAAAGAAACATATCATTTGGAGTTAGCACGAGGGAGAAAGACTAGTTACCGCAAATTAAAAAGAGAAAACCTTTTGTTCATGTTCTTGAGTTTCTAGTATTTTCGTGTGTGTTTTCCCAAAAATCATCAAGATAATTCTATTTACCCTGATGGTTTATGTAATAACCGTAAAAAAATACAAAATCGTCAGGGAATTAGGAATTTCCTTGATGGTTATTAAATTTTCCCGTGTATTTTCCAGAAACCGTCAAGATAATATCAATTTTCCTGTATGTTTTCCAGAAATTGTCAAGGTAATTCTATTTACCCTGACGGTTTAAGCAATAACCGTAAAAAAAATTCAAACCCGTCAGGGAATTTTAAGTTTGCGGTAGTGATTATGTTCCTAAAACACGATGCATGCATAGTGCCACAAGCAATGTATTGGAAGTGGACACTGTGGATATTACGTCTACAATTACATGAAGGTAACCAGGAGATACAAGAGACATCCCACGAGGGTAAATAGCTACATAGTTTACTTCTTCATATTAGTTGAAAAGTATATAGTCACCGACCATGTAGGGTAAAAAATTATTTGAGGTTATGTCTGAAAAGTCCTAGAACATGGTATCTTCTCTACTAATTTGTCTGAAAACCCCTTAAACATCATATCTTCTAGGACAGAGGGAGCACTATTATATGTCTTCTCTAGGGAAAATTGAGCTTTTGTTATGTAATGTATGTTTATATAAACCATATAGACTGCATGCACAAATCAGCATCATAGTAGATTCCTCGAAGTCAGATTTGGATGAGGAATCCGGCCCATGTAGATGAAGTCTGGCCCATGGATGCAAGCTAGGATATGTAGGCCCAAAAGTTTCCTCTATCGTATACGAAAAACACATTTGCTCTCCTCGTAAAAAAATAATAATAAGGGGAAAACTCCATTCTCCCTCTCTAGATTGTCGTTGTAGTCTGATTTTTGTTTTCAAATTCCAAAAAGAGACATCTTACCTTTGAACTCTCAAAACCATTCAAATTACCTCCATGCTCTAGTTCGAAGTGATTTTGAAGACGGTTTTGACCTTTTTAGTTAAAAATTCAAAATTACGAGTAAATTTATATATTGAGATAGAGCAAAGCCAAATAAAGTATTTAGAGCCCATAAATATATCTCTAGATGCTTAAAAATAGATTTAGCTCCAGCAAAATGGAAAAATATCTAGAAAAATATAGAAAATTGAATAAACATTCTAATAGATGTCTAAACATTCTTTTAAAAACTTTTCACAATAAAAAATAAACACAACCAACACGATTGCATATATAGCATTAATGCATTCAACATTAATATATGTTGTGTTCATGCTGGTTGTACCTCATATTTTATGTGCGAAGTTTTTAAACAAGTTCATACATTGATTAGAATGTTTTGAGAATTGTCTAAATTTATTTGATATTGTCCCCATTTTCCTAGAGCTAAATCTATTTTTAAAAGAATATATAAGTACTTTCATGATCTCTAAATATTTTGTTTGAAATTTTCATATGTAACAATCTATCTCTAGTTTTTTTAGAACTTTTAGAAACTTGGAGACATTTTTTGTGATTTAAAAACCTTATCAAAGTAAACCACTTTAAAACAAGGTAGGGAGATAATTTGGATGGTTATGTGAGTTCAGGGCGCAGGATGCCAAGTTTTAAAGTTCGATGCGAAAAAACATGCTACATTATTCAAAGAGATAAAATGGATTTTTTGCAAATAAAAATAATCGAAGAAGCCCATCTAGGCCTAGTAGTCTTATCTGCTTAGCTCTAGGTCTTGTGGACCTCCTACGGCCAGTGATCGACCGTCAACCGAAAAGCCCTATCAGGTGATCACCAGCCACCAGCGCAGCGCTCTCTTGCAAGAAATCCATAGGCCATTAAATCCGTTCACCAGTACTGACGTCTTGGAGGTTGATAGAAGCTGATGAACCCATCTTATCCATTTGTCATTGAAACCCCTCGCTCGAAGAATTTTGAATAGACTGTTCCAGTTAACTTTGTCAAAGGCTTTAGCAAAGTCAAGTTTCAGAACAACAGTTGGGACCTACCTTTTATAACAGCTTTGTACAAGCTCCATCACATATACAGAGTTTTCAGTCATTCATCTCCCTTCAGTTTGATTTAGATCGATAAGGCTGGAGATCTCTTTCTACAGTCAGGATTTTTGCAATTAACTTCACACTACATTTTTTGCAGGCAAATTGACCGGAAAGCATCCGTGGCGGTTTCTCTAGTCCCTGTGCCGTCTTTTCTTTCCTGATATAAAACAAAATTCGAGAAAATTATAAAGAAAAAAAAGAGTGTGATTCTGCGTATGGGCGTATGGGCGTGACCACCTCGCTCACAAGTGAAGGCAAGTGACGACGGAAGCGGTTGGTTTCTGCACAGAACAAGCAAACAACACGAACTAAAAATTAGTATTCCTCTTTGCTTCTCTCGTCTCCTCAGACCTCTGCACTCCACGCAAGAGATACTTCCGTGCGAGGACGCAAACGCAACCGAGGCGATTCCTTCCCCTTTCATACACCCCGTCCGTCCTCCGTATCTGCATATCCTCTCCGGTAAAGAATCCTCTGCTGCTACAATCCCACACGTCTGCCTCTCGCCAATCGATTCCCTGACGGATCAAATTCTCCTCGCGTTTATTTTCACTCCCTTTGTCTCTGGCCCGGTGGTTACTTTGTTTGGCTCGTTTGGTGGGAACTCTCTGTTTGGTCGGCGGCCATGGCCAAGCGGCGGAGTAGATTTGGTTTCGCTAGGTATATCGGCCGAAATGGTTCCGGGTTCTTGCTTTCCTCAATTCCATCATTCGTTTTGGGCAAAAAAGGGATCTTTTTTCTTTTTGATTGAAGGTTGAGTTTCTGTAGTAGTAGAATTCGGGGAAGTCCAAGCTCTGTCGAATGGGCTTGGTGTAAATTCAGTTGTGCCCGTCTCGACTTCATGTAAAGTTATGAGTGAGGAAGAGAAAAGCAGCAGCAACTTCAGTTACGTAGTTTGTTTCGCTTGTCCTTCCTCGGTTTTGCAATTGCCAACTTATTAGTCGCGTGCTGTTTTTCCCCTTGCTAGGTTCGGCTGCTTCGGGGGCCAAGCTCGGGCGGAGAAGATGGCAGAGGTGGGCGACGGCGTCTGGCCCCCATGCTCCTTACTGAATCTGGAAGCATCTGAACTGAGTGATGGATGATCTGCATCTGCATGGCTGTGTGCAGGATGGGTACCCGGTGAAGCTGCACATCTACGATCTTAGCCAAGGGATGGCGCGGCAGCTCTCGGCGACGATCCTCGGCAAGGCCATCGAGGCTATTTGGTAAGCATCCCTGGTTCTATTTCCTCTTCCTTATGATACGCAAGGCTTGCTTTTGATAGAGGACTTGTGTTGCAAGCGACTGCTTTTTTCTGTCTGTAATTTTACAAAAGAAAGAAAGAAAGAAAGATGAAATGTACGCAGCTCTCCTTCATCATGAAAAAAAAGTCGCATCGACTCCTGGTGGCGCTATGTTTACCTTTTGCCTAGTTATCTAGATGTGGGACCTACCGATTTGCATTACTATTGCTGATGTTGATTTCGTAGTAGCTACATCTGTAATATCAGCCATGTCCCTGATACATGTTTGTCTCTAGTAAACAGAGTATTTCTTCCCCTTCACTAATAGTTACCTCTACAAAATGTAGATTCAAGGTAAGTAAAGCTTCAATATATGAGCAAATCATCAAAACATTGCGGGGGTGCCCTTTTAGGAATTTACTAGTACAGATTACACATGCAAACATGATGGCCCTGTTCGCTCGAACTTATCAGACGTACCATTTCGATAAAATAATTGTGTTTTTCTCTCAACAAATTAGCATCAGCCGTTTTTCCAGCCAGCCAAACAGGGCCATGGCTTCATGGTTTTGCTTCTGGTGCAAGACTTCGCATTTACCTTGTTGCCCATGAAGAGAGATAAGACATCAAGTTTGCTGCACTCCTGCTGTTTATTTGCAGTTGATCCTGGTTGACCAATTTGGCACAGTTGTAATCTCATTCGCATTTTATATTCTCATGAATGTAGGTCATCAGCCTGTTCACTTGTTGGTTTCAGCCAGCCTAAACCAGCCAGTCAACAGTGTTTTTCTCTCATAATAAACCAACACCAGCCAACTCAATCCAGCTCAGAAACCGACCAGCAAACTGGCCGCATGTCTTTTCGAGTCCAAACTCCACTGAACATATGGTTATATTATATCACCAGAACAAACACAGGAAGACCCATGTAGATTCAGTACTACAAAGAAATCACGAATTGCATAAAATGCCGTTAAGCTGCTCTTCTGTTCGCTTTATAGGCCTCGTTCGGCTGGTACGATGTTTGACGTGTTCGGTCTTTTTTAGTCGGAACAGTATTTTTCTCTCGTAACATTTTAGTCGGAACGGTATTTTTCACTCAATTTCAGTCGTTTTTCTTGTGCTATCTCAGGCACACCGGTGTGGTCGTCTACGGGCGGGAGTACTACTTTGGCGGCGGCATCCAGCAAGGCCAGCCCGGCCGGACGCCCTATGGCACCCCCATCCGTGTGGAGGACCTGGGCGTGACCCACGTCCCCAGGGAGGTGTTCGAGGAGTTCCTCCGGGAGATCGGCCCGCGCTACACCCCTGCCACCTACAAACTCCTCAGCCACAACTGCAACAACTTCAGCAACGAGGTCGCGCAGTTCCTCGCTGGCGCCGCCATCCCCAGCTACATCCTCCAGCTTCCGAACCAAGTGATGAACAGCCCGGTCGGCGCGCTGATATGTAAGGGCTGAGTAGCTTTTTTTTTTTACATTTTAGAATTTTGCATCAGGTCGCCACACAATTGACGGTTCACTGTTTTGCTCTTGCAGTGCCCATGATCCAGGGGCTGGAGACGAGTTTGGGAGCTGGGGCTGTGCCGCAACCGCCGCAATTCAGTCCGGCTCCTGCCCCGGTTGGCGCCACCACCGCGACTCGGGCGCTGACGAATGACGTGGTGCCAAGATCGACGACGACTGCTGCTGATAAACCGGAGGCTGCCAAGACAGCGAACAGTGGCAGTGCCAATGACAGCACGGCCGTTCCACCGGCAGTGCAGCCCGCAGCAGCACCGGCGGCAGCCGCCGCTGAGGTGAGCAGCGCGGCGCCTACGGTTTCAACCAAGTTGGCGGCGCCTCCTCCAGACCCCCTTGCGGCGGCGAAGAGCCGGGTGCAGGAGGAGATAAAGCGCGAGTTCGCGGCCATCATGGCGGCCGGCACGGCGCGTGCCGGCGAGGCCGCCGCGCTGGCCACGCGCAGGGTCATGGAGCGGCACGGCCTGCAGCGCGCCGCTGCCGCTGCCGCTGCCGCGCAGCGAGGGTAGGCCGTAGGCATAGGTAGCACGCTGGGTCGGTGGCTGTCATGAGCCTACGGCGTGGACCGTAACAGTGGCGTCCGTCGTGTAACTGTTATCGCCCGTTCCGTTACGCTTGTTCAATTAAATTTGTGGATGGTCAGTCAGGCAGTGTTGGCCTCAGATTCTCGAGGTAGTCTGCAAATCTGCTGATGAAACAGCTGATGGCAAATAGGAGTATTATCCAAATCTCATGTAATCATCGAAGCATCATAATCCTGTAGTACCAACAGCTTTACAGGCGCTTAACTGATTAATTTAGCAAAATCCATCACAGCACAAGACAAAATATGTACAAACTATACAAACCAGTATAACAAGTAGAATTCCACAACTACCAAAGTCGTACACTAGTACTACATTAGCATCGCTCACAAAGGATGACTGCAGAGGAACGGGGAGAACAAAACAAAAGGATGGGTAGGATTGAGAAAGGCACACGCCCCTGCTTCCCCGATGGGCACGCGCGACGTGTCCAGTGGCTGGCGCGCCATCTAGGTTCACCTCCCGGCCCACGTGGCGAGCTGCGTGGGGTTGACCACCCCAGGCACGCGGGCCATGCCGCGCTGCACCAGCACGGCCACGGCCTCGTACCGCGAGCGCGAGGTCCCGCCCGCCTCCGGGCAGGGCCCGTGTCCTGGACCGCGCCGCTCGCCGAGGACCGTGCCGGACGAGAGGGAACTCGTGCGCGAGGAGCCCCGCCAGGAGACTGTTGCCGCCGGCAGCCGGATCTGGTGGGCCCGCTGCCGGAGCCGCCGCGTCCCTGTCCTTCCGCTTCCTCACGGGCCCAGTCGCTGGAGAGGCCTCCATGTCACTGGTGAGAGACTGAGAGCTAGACAGAGAGTGAGGGTCTGTTGGCTTCCATGGACGGAGTGGGATGGGAATGAGACGAGCCCACTTTCGACATGTTTAGTTGGGAGTTGAAGAGAAGCTAGACATCCCACTAGAGAATATACCCGGCATATTCGCACAAACCGGGAGCGAGGTCGCCCTAGAAAAAAGCGCGGACGGGGGCGTCCCACTGCGATGGCGTGAGCATCGTCTTCATCTTGCAGCGATTTCTCTCTCCTCTGATGTCATTCTTCCTTCTCCGGCGCCGGTCAAACGAAGCCGAGCAGTGAGATCCCACGTGGGCCATCCGCCACTACCGAGATCTAGCGCGGGCGAGCTCCGCCCCTGCATGGCACGGCCCTAGCTTGAGGACCTCCTGCGTGACGCGGCGCCCGGCGCGGCCCCAGAGCTTCGCGGATCCGACCGTCTTCTTCCTCGTGAGATCTGGCTGCCTCGTCTTCCCCGCGCTTGAGCTCGCAGTGTTCGGGTGGCGCGGCAGGTTGGGAAAGGCAGGCATGGCTGCTCTGTGGCCGAGCTCGGAGTTCTTCTTTGTCTGGTCGACATCCAGTGGCACTTGCCAGCAAACTAACCACGAGCAACGAGCTCGAGCACTTTGGCAAAGTTGGGAAGGGGCTCGAGCAGCGTGGAGAGGCCAGCGGCACCAGGCACGGTGGTGATTTCGTGACGTGGCTTGAGGATTTTATTTATTTATTATGTATAATATAAAAGGAGAAAAGAGACTGACATATATATAGTAAAAGAAAAAAAGATTTACACATGGGTCCTGGTGGGTCCCACTACAATAGTAGCTAACGGCGTCAATTATCTCATCCATCCCATTCCTATTTATCCTTTCAACCAAACACAAAATGGATCCATCTCATTCCTCCTCGATCAAATAGAAAATAGAGTGGTTCTGTCTCCATCCCACCCCAAAAAACAGAGATGGGACCATCCCATCCCACCATAACTCCCAACCAAAGGCTATATGAGAGACTGCGGATATTTGTGTCAGAGTCAGACGAGGAAATTGGCAATTTTGGAGATGCCGGATGGGGTTCCGGAAACTTTGGTTCATGCTATAGACTCCACGCTAGCAGGAAAAGGAAGGGACCAAACAGCCCATAACGGCCCAGCATTTTACAGGCCCGAAAGGCCCAACAAGGACGCCGGTCAGCAGCCGTGCCTTTTCTTCTTCTGTTACCAGCTTGCGCTCTCTCGGCGACGGCTACACCAGGTGCTCAGTTCTTCGGCCAGGTCGCTGCTGCCCTCCGCCAGGTGTCCAGGTCTTCTTCGGGCCCTTCGCCGGCGACGAGCACCACCAGGTACGCCCACCCCTTTCCTTCCTGCTGTGCGAAACCAAGCACCCAAACCCTAACTTACTATTTGTATTCGGATCTTATCTAACTACAAGTGTATATGCATGTATGATGCCTACTATCTTCGATTGTTTTGCAAAAAATTATCGGGTGGACATGCCCCTGCCCTTGGAGAAGTGCTGGGAAATGCGAATTTTTTATGACATTGTTTCGAAATGAAATCCTTCAGTGGTAGGAACTAGGAAGTGAAGCTGAAGTTAACTAATTAACTGAAACTTGTTTGGGATCTCAATTGTCACTGGGTACGAGACACATTTTTGTTTCATGACGTCACACTATCACTCGTGCGTTTTTCCTCTTTCAGCTATCGTCTATAGTTGGTCTGCTTATAACTTCTCATTTTTAACACTTTCAGTAACACACTGGACTACGATGGAGAATATGCGTTATGCTGAGGAGCTCGTGAGGGAGTTTCTAGTTTTCAGGGGTTTCACAAGTACGCTGCAAGCGTATGAGTCAGAGTTGTCTACTGAGATTGGCAGGAACTTTCAAGCAGATAAGATCGTGGATTTGGTGTTCTCAGAGTATATACCGAAGTACCAACTGGACAGGTTGGTCGGCCTGTTTGCCTTTTTCAAGCAGTGTTTCATGTCACCTGGGGACACAGAGCTGTTCTCAACCCTTGTTAAGTTGGAGCTGTCAGCATTAAGGTACTATGTAATTAATGCTTTGAAATCTGGAAGACAAGACAAAGTAATTGAATTCTTTGGTGAAAATGGCAATTATCTAATGCAAAAGCATGGAGATTGGCTGGCATGGTTTGGTGCGTGTTCTTTGCCTTATTTTTCCTACATTCCTTATGCATTATTCTCATGCTTTGTCAATCTCAATAACATTATGCAGCTATTCCATATATTAAGAACCCAAGCTTGGATCCGCAGTTCCGTGTATATTTCTCCAAAGAGTGGCTGGATACTTTGGTTCTCTCATTTAGGAATTTTTTGAGTGGGATATTCAATGATACTCATATCCTTCCATAGTATATTCTTTGTTGTATCTCTAGTGGGATGTTTTCTAACATTTTACAATATCTTCTTTCCTATTGACTGATTTATAATCTTATCCCCTCCCTAGCTGATCATCACTGTGATAGAACTCAATGTTTGTGAATGCTATTGTTTCTATTAAAATTTTACTTTGCCATACATATTGTTATTTGCTGCTACACTGTTTGTCCTTAACTTTTCCACGGATCCCAGCTCTTATGAGAATTAGTAGTGAAAAGAATACCATCAAATCCTTCAAGAATGACATAAAGCAACTGAACAATAAATTGGCAGAGCTACAAGCGTCCTTAGAGGCGAAGGAAGATGAAATCTCTCAGTTGAGGAGGTAAAGTTATTCGTTATTCTCTCATCTCTCTTGCATACAAAGTTACTTTTTTGCCTATTAATGAATGCAAATCCTTTTGTACTTGCCATATGTATCCTTCCACAAATTAACAGTTAGTTTATTAGGTTCCATTTGGTTAACTGAATTATATTCATAAAGTATTCTAACATTAACTTTCCTATAGGTCTCTGTCTGCTATTAATGTTAAGCTTGGTTAGATTGTGAGTGCTAACTTCTAACCTCATCGCATGTACACAAACAAACGCATGCATGCATCCTTAAAACATGTCTCACCTTATAAATGCAGGAACTATAATAGTGCTGGTTATGGAAACAAGAATGTAGTTGGTACTAGCAGAGCTGGTTCCCCTCATGAAGAGATATCAGAAAACTATGAAGAATCCTCGGCCTCAAGTAGCATGATACAGGGTTTTGATTCTCGGTCCTCAAGTTCAGTGAGATCTTATACAAGAGGTGGGAAATTCCATGAATCTTCTGAGATCAGCCATACAGGTTGGTACTTACTTTTTTCATGGCTATTGTATCAGTATTTACCACATTTTTGTGCAGGGTACCTAGTAAGATAGAGTCTGATTGGTTCCTCGCATTGGTATTGCACTGCATTAGAGGTTATGCATCATACCCTTAACCTTAACCTGGATAAGGTTATGCAATTTGCTGTTTGGTTTGGCTGGATAAAGCTGTACAATATCACACTTGTAATTGGTTTCCTGCGTAAGTGGCCATACTAGGCCTTGGGCTGCAGAGCCGGTGTGGGGGGGAGGGGTGCATAGGCGCATAGCAGGATACGCAGGATTCGGCCGAATTGTGTGGTGCAGGCTGAACTTGCTTTGAGGATAGTGCTAGCCTGCATATGGGCTTATGCAGGTAACCAAACATGGACTAATTGGACTATGGCGGCCTTTATAAGGGGTTGTTCAGGCAACCAATTACACCCATAGTTGTGCTTTTACCTTCACCTGTTCATCACCATGCATACTAAGAGCATCTACAGTGATGAGTGGAATCATCGCCACCACGTAGGACCATGAAGAGTCAGCAAAATAACGTTTATTGTTGAACTGATCTTAACTGCAAGTATGGGTCCACAATAGCATTAAACAAATGGACAAAATCATCCTTTGCCTCCTCATGGCTACAGATAACGAGCCTGCGAAAAAAATATTCAGTACCCTTTGCATCCACTCCTCCAGTGGCTTGATTTGGGTTGGTTTTCTGGGCCACTGGAGATGGCCAAATGCTACCGTAGTTTAGATTGTTTTAATGTGTGAACCAATATATTTTCCTATTTGATATTCTTCAATTTTTTCTTCTGTTGCGCTTACTGTATGTATGGTACATGTTCTCCATATCTTTGGTACCCTCTCTTTTGCTGCAGAGGGTGAGCAGGTTTTGGTGACTGAGGAAGATTTTCCTGAAGTAAAAGTGGATTTCCAGGTAAGCTACAGTTTGTTCCACTATTATATTATCCCTTTTTGCAGTCGCCTGTATGACTGATTAGACTTGCTAACAGGAAACATTTTTAGGCCATAACAGTTCAATTAGCCGATGTCGATTTTCTGCATCTGGGTCAAATATTGCTAGTTCATCAATCGATGGTACAGTTAGGTAATTTTGCTATATTTGAGTAACTTCACATTGTCTACCTAACTCAAGGTTCTGGATTTTGACCCGTTGATCTTATTCTTTCGAAAGGATTTGGACATATGATTCATCAACACCATCATCCAGAAATGCTACTATATACTGTGGGTCTGAAGTCAGTGCACTTTCTTGGGAATGCAGATCTGACAGATTGGTATGTCTATATTGGATTGTATGGCACTAGTATCTTTCTGTTACTCTAAATTTGGTTAAAGTAAACTTGTTTAAGACTTTTGTTTTTGTCACCCATTTCTCTTGACCATAGCTGCTCATAGGCACAGCTAATGGAGGAATTAAAGCTTGGAATGCTGATGCAAAGAGAGTTGTTTGCGACCTGAGTACATCTAGAGACTTTCCAAGGTTATAATCTATAGTCTGCTGGTTCCTTGCTGAGAATGTTTAGCTAACAAAGCTTTTCTATTTCTTGCAGCATCTTAGATTTGAAATGCAGCCCTGTTGAACCTGTGTTTGTCTCTGCAGCTGCATCAAGACGGTATTGTTTAGATTTCATACTTCATGTACTTGATAAGAAGTCCATAACTATAGTGGCATTGTTTTATTATACTTATTTTCAGGCATGGATCAACTACATTTGAGAGAACAGGCTTTGCCAACTTGACCGTGTGGCATATGAAAACATGGAAGCCATTGGTAGTTCATTTGCTTTCATCCTCTTCTCTTGAACTTATATGTGGATTTTGTAGCCAGTATCTTTTCTAAAGGTTTTTTTCCTTTTTTTCTTCTATTGTGAAGACAGTCCTCCCTCTTGGTGAGGATCCACCTGCTATTACTTCTCTTTGCTTCAATCACAACGGGAAAATTTTGGCAGCTTCTGCTACAGATGGAATGATTCACATGTTTGGTATCCTTTTGTTATGATATTCTTTTACCATCCCTATCAAGTCTGTAGTTTCTTCCTAATTGATGCAGAGTTCTACTTATTTTGTACTGGTATTTTGTTCTTAAGACATACTTACATCTTGTTATTGTTGATCCATTATCCAGCTGCACTAGTCTGACCTCAACCAGAATTGAAAATGCTTAGCTAGTTAGAAATCATAAATACTGAGGCCCAGTTTACCAATGAGAGTTTATTGGTGGATGGTCTTGGAACTTTGCTCAACCGATGGTAGAACCTGCTTCTGTTTTGTTTGCATGAGATCCCCCCCCCCCCAGGTGATTATTTGTGGCTGACATCTTCCTTGACTGCAAGTAGACATGTCTGCTGGTCTTCAAATTACAGGATGGCCTGCCCATGATTCCCCTGTGAGTTCAGTTCTTTTTGGGCCAGCAGAAACTAGCATCTTCAGTTTAGGCTCAGATGGAAAGGTATACAGCATTTCACCTTTTCCCTTTTTAGTTCATTGATGCAACTAGCCATATGGATGTACTCCTGTCCCAAAAAACGTGATGTCGTGGGAGTGAAAATTTGTCCCAAAAAACTTGACACTCTGATTCTAGTACACGCTTTTGGGCCCACTGAAAAATTCCGTCGACTCCTGCATGCGCCAAATTAAAAAATTGATATGCGCTACTTTTGGTTGCCTCCCACGGATCTCTGCATGATTGCATGGAACGCAATTTAATTAGGAAACTTAACCATGCGGTATCCTCCTTTTAAGGAAATCATCTGTAACAAAATAGGAGTACTAGGGTCATTTCTCTCCTCTACTAATTTGTCTGAAAAATCCCAAAACAACATGTTTTTTTTGGGATCAAGGAGTAATAAAAAAGATGGCAGTGAGGTATTTGGTATCCCAAATGAATTGCATGGTGTGATCCATATCAAATGGTTGTGTACCCCTTCAATGCCCCTTCAGAGTGTGATTTTCCTAGTGTTGCAAGTCTTATGGTGTCTTAACTTCTCTACCCTTCAACTCGCTATCCGTTTGAACTATCATGCTCATGGCAACAATATCAACAAAATACTATCTTTGTTTCATGTATCTTGACTGCTGGAAGCCTGGAATAAAACAACAGTAACGAATAGGTACTCTACCCCAACTATGAACAGGTACTAGTGGAATAACATGAAGATGACAAAAGCATTTGCCCTGTATTACGAGGAGAAAGTAAGAAACCAAAAATACTACTGAAACTAAATTAAAATATTATTATAAATACATTGAAGGGTTCTAATTGAACTAGTCAGAAGCTCTTGGGGCTTTGTAAATAATGTAGATCTGGTCACTGGGAACACGATGGTTCAACGGATTGTGGATGATGCTCAATTCACCACACATACAGTTGAATCTGAATATGCTCTTTTATTTGGAGTTTGCTGACACATCTTTTCTTTTCTCATGGCGGGGACTTGGGCTTCTGAGGCCCTACTAAGTATTATGTATCGTCTGCACATCAGATTATAGTTCCCTGGGTCCTCATGGTCAGATAATCTTGTTAGTATACTCCAGTTATCAGCTATAAAGAAAATTAAAGTTGCGACATGTTTTATATTATTATATATTTTCCTCTGTACTAATGTGGATTCTTTTATACAAATATTTAATTTAATAATGTTCCATTAATTTGCATGATCTCATCCGATGTCAACTATATTGACTTTAGATATTTGAATGGAGCTTGCACAATCAAGGTCAGATTTTTTGGTCAAGAGATTGCAGCAGGTGAGAACACCCTACATTTGGTTATCATTTGTGAATTGTTATGAAAGTTGCTCATTTCTCCTTGTGCTTCTATTACCAGATTTTGCAATCCGGAGAGCTTTAAAACACGAATGCATGAAATAGCATTGGATTCAAATGGCAAGAGGCTGCTGGTTACCTCCGGTTTGGTCCGGGCCCCAATATATCAGGTTTCCATCAATATCTGATTGCACCACTTCATTTTTTTTGCAGAAACGGGTTCCAATGATTCATCTGCATATCCCTTCAGGTACAAGGCCATGAAAGTGGATTGAGGACACTACCGCACAGTTCATCTATCACAAGTGTGGATTGGCATCCAACACTGCCAATGTACATCGCTGGGTCTGCAGACCACTCTGTCCGCGTCACATCTATTTTATGATCTATAAAACAAGGTACTGGCAACAATCTTTCTCAGCTAGCATGCATTGATCCTTATTGACAGTCTTATCCATGCGTGAGGCTCGATGTCATGATATTTTGTCGCATGGAAGGTGAGCTGTGTTTTTGTTTTGTAGCTGCGCTGTATGTCTAGTTCTATACCCTTTGGTGGGTTGTTCCAACATTTTTGTTGTTGTATAAACAGGCCTAGAATTAGAATTATGTGATCATTTGTACACACTAGGAAGACTGAACTGTTACAGGCCTCTTCCAAAAGCATGTGAAAGATGACTTCATGGTTTCAGTCTCGTAGTGGCTGTTGTCATGCTGTAACATTGAGGCATTTCATGTTTCTTGGAAACCATGTTGTGCACGATGTGTTACAGCTTGAGGTTGAAATTTACTGTACCAATGAACATCGTTTGCCACTTGTATTGAATTTGTATTCCATGTTTGAAGCATATCTACATCTATTGAGCACGCATTTGGCCAGGTTGTCGTTCTTATCTGTACATTTTTGTTCGTTGCGTATAAGTAGGTCATGTGCAATCATGCGACCAAGTGTGTGGCGGTGTCCCATTCTGCCTGACTTGATCAGTTTTTGATTGAGATCGTGTCTGTTCGACCAGCAGTCCTCACTGCCCATGTCCTTTGGTTGAAATAGGCGCTATTGTTGTGACAAATGCTATGGGTGCAACACCATACGTGATTGGCTACCAAGGTTTGGTATCATCTCCACTGTCCTGATTTTTCAAGAACATGGCCACAAATGATAGAAAAATTAACAAAGTCCATAACTCGATATAAAAGAAGTAGCAGTATATATAAGACATCTTTGTGATTGCATCTTGAATAACAAGTGCAGTGGTTGACTTAGCCTTCTTTTTCGGATCAGCAGCTACACTAGGCCATTTTCCTGCAGGAGCACTAGGCGTAACAACCAGGGGCTTGGCCGTTGGTGACATGGCCACAAGGAGGCACTGCAGCGCGGCCCGGTGCCTGGCCACTGGCCGGCCGAGGCAGGAGAGGGCCAGCCAGCGTAGGAGGTCGGCTCAGAGAAGAAAAAGTCGTCTTTTTTCTCGCGGCGTCCGTACGGGAGTTGAAGAGAGGGGAACCGGTGATTAGAGAGTGGCAAATGTGAGGAATTATTCTTCAACTCCATGTGGGAGAATAAAACTCCAACAACTAGAATACCCTTTGAGGTCGCTACTAAGCTTGTGCCAACTCCACCCAGTCCCCTCCCCCTGTACCCCATTCCCCAATTCATTATACTCCTGGTCCCTTGGAACATAGGATGGCACAGTTGGATTGCCATTAAAATAGATGAAATCCATTGTATTGCCGTTAACATAGATGAATTTCTTTTTCCCATATCCTTATCCGTGGGTGAAATTTACTCGTCTCTCAAAATCTCACAATAGGAGCGACTTTAAATGCATACACAGCAGAGCCTATCTGTGTCCCAGTATTTACTTCTGATCCAAGGACGCCTAGCTGTATCCTTGTAAATGGCACGGGGCAATTTGCGGAACCGGATTCTCTAACCAAAGTTAAAGAGAGCCGTGCAATCAGACCCATCTGTGCCCCGAGTCTCTCTTGTAATCTGCAATTTGCTAGGGCTAGTTCATGGACTTGTGAATCGCACTTCTCTCATGCTTTTCCCCGTAGGCCATAGGATTGATTGTAGTGTGCTGGCATGGGAGGCGTCTTAATGAGTCTCAGCAACAGCATTTAGATTTACCAACCGCCAACAGATTTCTGAAACATTTGATAGCGATTTGGACGGGCTCCAAAATTCAACAAAATTTAAGTTGTCCTCTACTGGTTACTCCAATAATTTGATCATCATGATCATCATAAGTCCTAGGATCGACAGGACCACGGGGGAAACACACATTATATATGCTTGATGCCAGAGCCAGGATCATGATTCCATCATACTGTAGTCAGCACGAGCAATATTGCGGCTATATATATGTGCACCGCAAGAATTATAGATGCAGCAATAATTGATGGATCGTAGGTAATAATGCAGCCATGGTGGTTAATTGTTGTTGCTTCAGACATGGAGCTCTCTCAAGCAGGTTGTTGCAACTTGCAAGTACTGTAGCTAAGCAACATGCATGGAGTATGATCCGGCCAGCTGCGTGCTGAGAGTATTTCGGGGGCGGTCATCTTTCAGCTAAAGTCGTACATATTGTGGCTCCCATTTCAGTTCGAGTCCTTCCCAATATATTGGAATGGGATCTATAGGAGTAGTTCACAAGTTGGATGTGCACGGAGCACGGTGGCTAGGCTAAGTAGGAGTACTCCACACGACGTACCGTTGATGAGAAAATTAAAGATACAGCAGGAAGCTATGCAAGCACAGATCGCAAAAGGGGCAGTAGAGTAGAAAAGATAAAATTCTATCACAATATCATAGTTTAGTATACCAAATTTGATTAATTATATATAAAAATATAAATAGTTATGACATCAAATAAGTGCCCCCGCGTAATAGAGCGTCTGTCGCGCCTGCGTAATAGGGGAGCCCACCCGCTTGCCGCGCACGCATGGGGTCTCAACCTCGTCACGCCCACGTCACCTCCATAGCCAGGGTTTGCATCTCCATCGCACGGGGAGATGCCACAAGCTTCTGCTCCAGAACCTCCGACAGGGCCAGCAGAGGTAGCATGCCGCTAGCTTACAGCCGATGCCGCCATGGCTCCCGCACTAGCTCTCTCTTCCTCACTAAACAACCATACATTGAGATCTACTTTTACAATGTTCAGATAAAACAATTGCAACATACTACTGAAACAGATAAAATATTTGGAACATATAATTGCAACATAGTCATTGTAACATATGCAACATCCAGATAGAACACTTGCAACATACGTCTGAATCAGATGAAACATATGGAACATGTTGTTGCAACATATGTGTGAAACATATGCAAACATCCGGATCAAAATGCTTGGAACATACGTCTGGAACAGATGAAACATTTTGAACAAACGCTTGCAACATATTTTGAAACACTTGCAACGTATGCAATATTCCTGATCTACTTTTGCAACATCCATAAGAAACAACTACAACATTCCTTTAAAACGATAGAAACAACTGCAAATACCTTTGAAACATAGGGAAGGGGAAGCTCGGGCCGATCGATTCCAGCCGTCGAGCGGTGGCACACGAACACCACCAGCACCTAGCACTAGCGACGCGCATAAGCACCACTACCACTCAGCGCCACCAGCACCGGCCTTGGCTTACCCTGGCAGGCGGCGCATGCTACGAGAGGGAGCGGGCGGCGTGGCGCATGGCCAAAGCAAGGAGGGAGGTGCGGGTGGGTGAAAGAACCGAGGATGCCGCCTAGAGGAGGGTGAATAGGCGTTTTTAAAAATTGACACCTTCAAATGCAGAAACAGTTAGTATAGGTGTTGACACAAAAATGTGGCGATGTGATCAACACACAGCAAGCCAGAAGATCTGAGTGGAACGAGACCAGAGATCTGCTTGACTTCAACACAGAACCAGCCGATTCTGAAAACCCAACGACGCGCCAGTCAATTTGACCTACAATTGATAAGGAGAGAAAATCTTAACAGTAATTTAAGGTGGAACATGTCGGTGTTGCACCAAACAGTTCCAAATATACGGCTAGATAGCCGATTCAATAAAGCTATCGACTAAATAGTCGATATCCAATGTATTTATGAAATGGAAATCTTTAAATTAAGGATTATCGGCTAATATTAAATGATAATGATATGAATCAAAATAATCGATGCTCATGGAATATCATTAAGCATCATCGACTAAATGGAACATGATCGATATAAAGCGTCGAGTCGATAAGTTTGATGCAGTCATAGCAAACAAACAACGTACATATCTTGATCATGAACAAGACCACTAATCGATAATTTCTAATCTAAAGTCTTACCAGTAAGGTTTGACCGGATCAATGCAGCTATGGTACTGTCATTAGATTAAATCTCATTAACTAGTGAGTTTATTCAAGATTGAAACATGTCTTTGAATGCATACTATATTTAATTAGAATAGAGATAAAACAACTGATCTAATATAATTAAACCATCAATTATAAGATTTAAAGCGTGACCAGATCAAAGGACGTCCAATTAAGATGATATGATATCGATCTATCTCTATCTCAATCGGGTGATTTTGTTATAATTAATAAATTATTAATTATAGCAAGATCGATAACCGGTGAATCAACCAAAAATAGCAAGAAAAATCTTACTAATCTTAGCAGATTCGGTAACCGGTGATATTGTATTAAACAATAAATTATTTAATACAAGATCGATAACTTTGATCTATATTATGATTCGTAAGGGGTCAATCAGCTGATGCAACCTTACAAACTACGATACAGATTGATAACTAACTTATAATATGGCTCATAAAAGATCAATCAGCTAATGCAGCTTTACAAGCACAATACAAGTCGTGACGGTACTCACAAGCAAGTTGGAGGTCGATCAGTCGATGCAGCCCTGTTTGCTAAAGAACTTGTCGAGATCTACAGTACTCCTACTCCTAATGCGATGATGAAAGCCGGAAAGATTGTATTCATTGAGTGTTCATTTTTTTATAATAACCAGGGTCTAATATTTATACCCGAAACCTAAACATGAATCCTACTCAAATACGACTTATTACAATTCTTGGAATAGAAGAAAACTTTCTAACTTAATAATAACTTGGACCCTAATTTTTCTTATTCGTAGAGTCCAACACATCTTCCTGGCGCCATTCAAGATAGCCCATTGATGCCGCCTGCTGACGTCATCTATAAAATAGCCGATTCTGACATCGCATCTAAATCAACTGATACCGATTCACATCTAATCGATTCCTTGATGACATAATCCTGGAAGCTTCGAGTTCCTGCGTTCTTCTTTCCAAATTTTAGTGTAAACACATGCCACCAAATTTTAGGATAAAAATAATTTTATTCCAAAATTTCTATTTATTTGC